GATTTAGTACCCGGTAAGCATCCATCTACATCTAATTATTTTAATTACCTATGTTGATTAAGGATCAGATGGGTTTGGTTTTTGATGAAAGCAAACCCATACTTAATCTGAAACCACAAACTTTCCCGAATATTCCATTAAAAGTCATGACAACCCTTTAAAATAGATGAATCGTTACATTCCGTCGAATTTAAAGGGGATGTAAATTGACCACATGTGGAATTAAGTAAATCTCAAACAACAGAAAATACAACAGAAAATCTCGAACAACAGAAAATCTCTTATCCATAATATTTGAAATAGAGATTTTCTTTCTCTAACTCCAACATGTATTTGCTCGAAAACTCCAAAATATAAGAGTGTCCTCTTTTGAGAAACGCATATTTGCCGGAAATTAGGGTTCTTGGTGTCTCAAACTTCCTATCTGCATCTCTAGTTCAATTTAGATCGTAGTCTCACAAACAATCTTGATATAGCCACCAACAATGAGAATTTTAGGTTTTAGATTCAATTTTGGGCGCCTATTTCTGGCTGCGACAACCGTGTACTGCGAAATATGCATGGAACACGTCCCCTCGGCCTCGAGCTTCAAGACCACTGCACACTGCAAGCACTCCTACTGCAGAAGCTGTTTGTCTTCGCACATCTCCACGACCATCGCCAACGGAGTTGCGAACGTGCGGTGCCCCGGTTTGGAATGCCGAGCCAAGCTCGACCCCCTCCGGTGCAAGGAACTCCTCTCGAGAAGATCCTTTGTTACATGGTGCGACATTCTATTTGAGTCGTACGTTCTGCGTTTCGTGAGGTGTTACTGCCCGAACTCGAATTGCCGAGAGCCCATTGTGGACGAGTGTGGACGGAGTGGCAATGTCAAAAGATTCAAGTGTCCTATTTGTCGCCGAAGCGGTTGTTTCCAATGTGCAAGCGAGTGGGTCGAAGGTCATGGATGTAGGGGAAGGCATGATGTGGACATTAGTCTATTGGAACGCCTTGCGGACAGGAAGAAGTGGGTGCAGTGCCCTAATTGCCACATATATGTCGAGCGCAATGGAGGTTGCGATCGAATCTATTGCAGGTAAGTAAGAGTTCTTGTAGTTTTTCTTTTACATATTGCAATAAGACCATTACATGAGAAATAGAATGTGGAGATGATACTATTTGATCATGCTTTTATCTGCAAATCATGTTGACAAACAATCTAAGGGGGCTTTGGTTTCGATATGAATTTGCAGATGCAAAACGGTGTTTTGCTACAGATGCGGTTGGGAAAGAGGCAAATTTCTTTGTTTGTGTCAACTAAGCCGCACTGATGATAACTATTCGGAAGTATGCGTAATAGCTACATGCGCCGTCTTATTGATTGCCACATTCATTATACTCCTCATGGCCATAATATGTCTCTTGAGTGATCAAGAAGCGTCATAGAAATTACTCTTTACCTGCACATACTTTGTTGGCATTCCATTGAGCCTGCGAAAATTCTGTTTTCCTCCTTTCACCATCCATGACTCCCACAAGACTTGTGTAACTGCAAATCTCGTTTGATTCCAGTGAAGATGTTATCTCCAATTGCCAAGTTGAATAACTTCCGAAAGATAAGCTCTCAATCTTCATTTTAACAGAAACACATGTGCATCTCATGCACCACAGAAGTGGATCTTTGGGGTAGGAGGGACGAAGAACGGGTAGGGTTGCTATAAGAGCAATGATGAAGATGTGGGGCTAGTTTTTGTTTTAGATAGTAGTAAGTTTAAATTCGATTACGAAGATGAGATATTTAGCTTTTAGATATAGACTCAATTTCAGGCTTTGAGTATCGAGCGCTGTATACTGCACTCCTTCTGTATGCCCTTCGTATCACTCATGATTATGCCCTTCGTATCACTCGTGATTCGGCGCGTCAATTAGTAAACCAATCTTGTAAATTGACTTTAGTAAATCTAGCATCGCAAGCATCTAACCTGGGTATTTTTTCCCAATTGTGATTCTAGTGGAGACATTATGTCCAATTACCAAGTTATATAACTACCAAAAGATAAGGTCTTTTTAATTTTCAATTAAGTACAGTGAACATTCATATAGATAACCCATCCTTAATTTAAAACTCGATTTTCCCAAAAAAGTTTCATTAAAACCCATCACAATTGCTTAAAAAGAATGAATTATTATTAGACTTAATACTACGAAAAACCCCAAACTGATACACCTGTGATAAATTTATCCCGAACTAATTATTTGACCACAAAAAACCCCAAACCGGTGACAAATTTACCTCGAACTAATTATTTGGCCACCAAAATCTCCAAACCGGTGACAAATTTACCTCGAACTAATTATTTGGCCACCAAAATCCCCAAACCGGTACACTTGTGATAAATTTTCTCCGAATTAATTTTTTGAGCATCAAAAATCCCGTACTGTGATAAATTTACCTTCCGTAAAATTTGATTAATACCACAAAAAATCACAAATTGATAAGCCTATGACAAACGGAGGAACGTGTCATCCAACTCAACAATTTGACTGCAAAATTTTAACGGAAACTGATGAAGGCTAAATTTTTCACGGGTGTAAAAGTTTGGGGTTTTTTGTGGTAAAAAAATTAATTTAGGAGTAAATTTATTACATGAGTACCAGTTTAGGATTTTTCGTGGTATTAACCATTGTATTATAAGTCGGATGTGATAGAAATGGAAATCATCTCATTGATTCGTCGATTGACAGCTTCTTGAAATTTTCAGTCCAAGTGGTAACAAATATTTTCTTGCGTCAGAAATAGCCAACAAAAAGAATAAAGTAGGCTCTAAGACAAGGGAAAAAACTACCAAAAACCACAAAGTTTGCCATCTGTGACACATTTACCCCGAACTTTTTTTTGTGATACCAAAAACCCCGAACTTTGCTTTTTGTGACACATTTACCCCAATGTATTTAATCCATGGGCATTTTTGTCTTTTTTGCTTTTTCTATTTTTTTTTCTATTTTTTTCCTTTCCGGCGAGGGGGGCCTCGCCGGCGTCGGGCGAGGTTCGCCCTCGCCTGGGCGAGCGAGGGCGGCCCTCGCCCGGGCGAGCGAGGGCGGCCCTCGCCCGACTCAAGCGAGGTCGCCCTCGCCGGATCTCGGCGAGGGGGCCTCGCCGCGCGCCGAGCGAGGGCGGCCCTCGCCGGCGTCGAGCGAAGGTCGCCCTCGCCGGATCTCGCGAGGGCCGCCGCGCCGGCGTCGGCGAGGCCGCCTCGCTCGCCCAGCGCGGGCGACCTCACCCGACGCCGGCGGCGGGTCGACCTCGCCAGATCGGGCGAGGTCGCCCTCGCCGGGCGAGCGAGGGCGGCCGCTCGCCCACTCAGCGAGGTCGACCCTCGCCCGACGCCGGCGAGGGTCGACCTTGCCCGAGTCGGGCAAGGGCCGCCCGCGCTCGCCCAGCGAGCCTCACCGGTGTCGAGCGAGGGCCGGATCTGCGAGGGCCGCCCTCGCCGGCGTCGCACGACCGCCCTCGCTCGCCCGGGCGAGGGTCGACCTCGCCAGATCGGGCGAGGCCACCCTCGCTCGCCCGGGCGAGGCGGACCTCGCCCGACGTCGGCGAGGGTCGCCCTCGCTCGGGCGAGCGAGGGCGGCCCTCGCTGGGCGAGCGAGGGCGGCCCTCACCGACTCGGGCGAGGTCGACCCTCGCCGACGCCGGCGAGGGTCGACCTCGCCCGAGTCGGGTGAGGGCCGCCCTCGCTCGCCCGGCGAGGGCGACCCTCGCCCGACGCCGGCGAGGGCCGCCCTCGCCGGATGCGGGAGGCCGCCCTCGCTCGACGCCGGCGAGGGCCCCCTTCGCCGGATCCGGTGAGGGCAGCCCTCGCCCGACGCCGGCGAGGCCCCCCCTCGCCGGAAAGGAAAAAAAAGAAAAAAAAAAAGCAAAAAAGACAAAAATACCCATGGACTAAATACATTAGGGTAAATGTGTCACAAAAAGTAAAGTTCGGGGTTTTTTATGTCACAAAAAAAAGTTCGGGGTAAATGTGTCACAGATGGCAAAGTTCGGGATTTTTGGTGGTTTTTTCCCTTAGACAAATAAAAGCGACTTGCATGGACCGATGCTAAAAATGTGACGTACTCTTTTGAAATTTTGTACCTAATTTATCTCTATAAAGGATAAAACCTTATGGAGGCGTCATATTTCGGGTCGAGCAAGGTTGTGACTGTGGCTTAGCAAAGCATGGCAGAGTAGATTTTGCGAACAGCATCAATGACGTAAATCAAGAATTTTGTGAGAATTCCTATGACGCGGCCACAAAGGTTTGTTGACACCAGTTGCTTTTTTGAGATGGAATCCAAGGCCAGAAAGTGCAATTAAGAAAAGGAAAAGCGTACCTCCTCCATGGCAGCCGCCGGAGAGAGGAACTCTAGTACTGAACGTTGATTGCTCCAAAGCGGAGAACTCACCGGAAGCAACCGTAGCAGGAGTGATTCGAGATTACAGAGGAGTGTTGGTGGATGGCTTCGCCAGCTCCATCTTTGCTGAATAGGCTAAAGTGGACGAAACCCTAGCTTTGATGACCGCTCTACGCTTTGTCGAAGAGAGAAGCAAACGTGAGGAGTTCTGTGGAGTTTAGATTCAAGTACAATCAGATTGTACTTTTTTTTTTTTGGCCAGAATCAAATACTTTTCATTGATATCTAGAAAAACCAAAACCCCTTTTCGGAGTCTCAAAACAGAGCAAGTCTCTAAGGGCCCGCGGAGGACTAATCAACCAGTGATCAGTGAGTGTTTTGTTCCTGTGGGTCTTCGCTACCCAGCCCGCGACACTGTTTGTATTTCTATTACAGTATTGCAATTTTAAATTAGTAAAAAGAGACATCAACCCACGTGCTTCAGTAATGACTGCACGCTGTTCCCACGGCAATGCTTGTGAAGACTTCAAGGTGTTGACCAGATTCGGACAACTGACCGGGACGATCGCGTCTTTCATCTCGCACGTGAGGAGAGAAATTTGAGGATTTCTACCATTGCTAGGCATTCGGCTGAGGAGGTAGGAACGTCCTTTGCAAATCCGTCGATCAGAGTTCCAACTGAGTCGCGGCACACACAGGCGATTGATCCTTCGAGTGATCCAGGTTGGTGAGCTGCATCTATATTGATTTTCGTTTCGCCCCTTTCTGGAGGAGTCCAGGCGTCGTCGCTTTCGCTATTCTCGGCTGCGCTTTCATTGTCAAGGTTGTTCCACCTGCTGAAATTTCTGAGCAATTGATGTCCTCTTTCAATCAGCAACTTTGGGTCCGGAGGGTGCCTTCTAAAGATGAAACGGTTTCTTGCTTTCTAGATTTCCCAGAGGACTACCGAGACTATCTCTAAACTAGGTGAGCTATTCTTCTGTGAATATAGTGCATCAGCCATTCATCTATTCTTGAAATTTGGAATTTAGAAATCTGGATGTTTAGTACAGGAGCATCCCAGACTTCCCTCGTCCATTTACAGAGAAGAAGTAAATGTTCCGGGGTCTCCACATGCGCTCGGCATATTGGGCATATTGGGTCAGGTACCATTTTCCTTTTGTACAGATTTTCCTTCGTCGGGAGTGCGTTTTGACATACAGACCAGATGAAGTTTCTGATTTTGTGGGGGGTTTTCATTTTCCAGATTCTGTTCCATAGCTGAGTTGGGGATTGGTGAGAGGAAGAGGCACTTTGAGCTTCTATTGTTTCATTTTTGCGGAGAGTGTTGTATCCGCTCTTAACTGTGTACTCTCCTTCCCTCGTACCTGTCCAGATCAGTTTATCTTCATTTATCTGTGGTCTAATCTGTATAGTGAGGATCTCACGCACCACCTGTTCTTCGAATATTCTTCGTAGGACATGTTCCTTCCAAGTGCTTGCCTCTTGATTCACAAGTTCATAAACCAAAGTTGGGTCTCCTTCATTTGCCGGTCCCCCTATAGTTCCCCTTTTGAGCCACTTATCTTCCCTGATATTAATTTTTTTGACCATTACCAACTGACCACATGACCGAGTCTTCAATTGCCGTTCTCCCCATAAGTATGCTCTGCCATCCCCAAGATGGTCTGGATCCCTTTTCTGCCTTCCAGAAGCACTTAGTTGGGTAATATAAGCCTTTTAGGACCTGACTGGACAGATATGTCTAGTTTTTAGCTAATAGCCAAGCCTGTTTTCCAAGCATGGCTTTGTTGAAAGCTATTAAGTCCCTAAACCCTAGGCCTCCCCTGTCTTTTCTCTGTTTTAGCACTGCGGCCTTCCTCCAGTGTACTCCTTTTGTTGCTGTTTGGTTCTTCCACCAGAAAGCTGTTATTTTTTGCTCAATAGCCCGACAAACTGAAAGCGGGATCTTGAAAATTGACATGGCATATTGAGGTAATGCTTGGACAATAGATTTTAACAGAATTTCTTTCCCTGCTTTAGACATCGTGTTCTCTTTCCACCCTTCAAGCTTCATATTTACCCTTGCCAGAATCCAAGCAAACATTTGCTTTTTGGATGTTCCCCAATCAGAGGGGATACCCAGGTACTTCCCTGTCTTATCAATCTCCGGGACTCTTAGTTCTCTAGCCATGTTCCTTCTTAATTCACTAGGGCTGTCTTTGCTGAAGAATATACCTGACTTGTTCAAGTTCACTGCTTGTCCTGAAGCATAGCAGTACTGGTGAATTATGCCAGTAAGGTTCTGGCATTCTTGCAACGTCCCATCTAGGAAGAAAATTGAATCATCTGCAAATAGTAAATGAGATAGTACAGGACAATGTCTGTTCAATTTGATCCCCTTTATAGTGCCATCTTGCACAGCCTTTTTCATCAACATTGATAGGAAGTTTGCAACTAGTATGAATAGGTATGGGGATAAAGGGTCCCCCTGCCTTATTCCTCTAGTAGGCTGGAAGTAATTCAATGGTTCCCCATTTACCTTGATACTCAGTGAGGTTGTTGTAACATATTGCATTATCAGGTTTACCCATCTTTCATTGAACCCCATTTTTAGCATACAGGCCTTCAGAAAGTCCCATTCGATCCGATCATATGCCTTTTGCATGTCTAGCTTTAAGACCGCCTGAAATTTTTGTTTTCTCCTTCGAACTCTTAGCTGGTGCAAAACTTCCTGGACTACAAGGATATTGTCTTGGATTTGCCGTCCTCCTACAAAGGCACTCTGTTCAACTTCAATTAACTCCGGGAGCCATGGTTTCAACCTATTTGCTAGCACTTTTGAGATGATCTTATAAGCAAAATTGCACAAGCTTATAGGCCTAAACTCTTCCAGCTTCTCTGGGTTTTTAACTTTTGGCACCAAGGATATAAGCGTTCTATTTAATTGGGGATTCAACAGTCTAGTTTGGAAGAAGTTTCTAACCTCTGAAAATACTTCTTGTTTTATATCTTCCCAGTAGTGTTGAAAGAACTGGCCATTCAATCCATCCGGACCTGAGGCCTTGGAGATTCCAAGCTGGAAAGTTGCTTGTTTAACCTCATCCATCATAACTTCTGCAAGCAGCCTACGGTTAGTTTCCTCCTTCACACTACAAGAGCAATGCTGAAGAATTGGGTCAAATTGTCGATGTCCAACTGAGGTATATAGTTCTCTAAAGAAATTATCAATCATCGTCTTTAGTTGTTCTTGATCTCGGGTCCAATTCCCCGTGGTATCTTTCAACATAGAAATTTTGTTTCGTTGTCTCCGCTGAATGGTGGAAGCGTGAAAGAACTTTGTGTTTTGATCCCCCCACTTGAGCCAATTTATCCTCGAACGCATTGCCCAGTACATTTCCTCCTGACTCCATAGCCGTTGAACATCATTTCTCAACTTTTGTAGTTGTTCTTTTTCATCCTCAGCAGTTTGCCTATTTGTTATTTGCTGGATTTGTTCCATTAAAAGCTTTATTCTTGACTACCCATTTGAGAACTTCTTCTTGCTCCAGCTTTGTAAGGCAGCAGCAGTATTGGTCATCCTGCTCGGGAGGCCCTCAGTTGCTGACATCGAAGAATTCCATGCCTTATTAATAACTCCTCTGCATTCCTCATCTTCTAGCCAAAATGCTTCGAAGGTGAAGTTCTTCTTTCTCCTCTTTTGTGCTTGACTAATAGACAATAGAATCGGACTATGGTCAGACCCAATAGCCGGTAAAGCATATACTTCTGCCTCAGGGAATTGTAGTCTCCATCTTGGATTGCTTACTGCTCTATCCAGTCTCTCTTTCACCAGCTCTTCTCCTTCACGATTGTTGGACCAGGTGAATGCACAGCCCTTGCTTTCAATGTCCATTAGTTCGCAGTTGTGCAGGAACTCTCTAAAAGCGTGTAGTCTGTAATGCTCAGCCAATCTTTTGCCTATCTTTTCCCAATGGTACAGAACTTCATTGAAGTCCCCCAAGCACACCCAAGGCTGCCTGTTTCTCTGGCTGATTCTATATATCTCATCCCACACCTTGATTTTATCCTGGTGTATTGATGGAGCATGAACAAATGTGACTCTCATTCTTGTTTTACAATTCTCCTCTTCGCATTCAGTATCTATTACTGCATCTGAAGCATGTAAGATTGATAAAGCAGCTGGAACATTCCACAAAATTGCTAGGCCACCCCTTATTCCAGTTGGGTTGACCACAAAACACTCATCAAACTTCAACTTCCTCCTCACCCAGTTGATCTTTTCCTCTCGGTTTTTTGTTTCCATTAGAAATAGTACGTCGGGCCTTTCTTGAGCCACAATGGCTCCCAAAGCTTGGACTGTCAAGGGTGTGCCCAACCCCTGACAGTTCCAACTTATAATCTTCATTTTAACTCCGATGGCTTATTAGGGCTAGCCACCACAATCCATTTTCCTGTGCCTTCCACTACCCGGATTGGCGTTTCAAGCAATTGGTCTTCATCTATTATTAACGATTTATCTCCTTGAGTGTCATATGGACTAAACCTTCTAATCTTCTTACGCACTGGAGTTTTTTGCCCACTTGGTTTCTTTTTGTTAGCGCTAAGTGGTACCATAGTTAAAACCGGTCCCTTGGGGAGTGCTTGATCTCCAGCCAAATTAACATTGAATTTTCCCAGTTGCTTGCTTTGACTTGCTAAATTGCTCTTATCAGTATGTATGTTCTTTGTGCTGTCCTCCTTATTCATCCGGAATTGCTAGATTGGGCCGGAGCTGCTCTCCTCATAAATAACTAATTGTCCAGGGTGGATTGGTGTCTCCGGAATGCTTTCCTCTTCCATATTATCAAGTAAGTCTTTACCATGGAATAGCTTCCGGAAAGGGCTGCTGTTACTGACCTCAGCCTTTAGCCATGAGCCGAAAAGTCTGTCCTCGTCCGTGTTCACATCCTCTACACTGAATGGCACCTCCTCGCAGTTAGATGCATTATGTCCTATTTTTCCACAAGAGAAGCAAAAGTATGGGAGCCTCTCATATTTAAAATCCAGCCAGATTTTCTTTCCTTCATTATCCGCAAGCATACCTGACTGCAGGGGTAATTTGAGGTCCAAATTCACTCGCGCCCTTCCATAGGACACCATTCCTCGTGTCTCAATTTTTACTTCTTGCACTTGTCCTATGGTACCAGCTACTTCACGAACTACTTCCACAGAAAGCCACTCAAAAGGAAGCCCCAAAATATGCACCCAGAAGTCACACGAGTCGAAGTTATAACATAAAGCTGTGGTATTTGGTGTCCATTGTTTCAAAATCAACAGGTTATTCATGAAAGACCATGGACCTTGGTCCATTACTCTTTTCTTCACAGCTGGAGAATCAAAGGTTATAGCGAAAATACCCTGTTCTAACGGAGTAAAGTCTACATTTTCCACTCGCCATGCTCTCCTCATAGTGTTTTGGAGAGCTTGAAAGTTGATTTTTGGGTTCTTGAGGAGTTGTCCTATCAACGTTAAATTACCTTCCTTTCCTTTCGCTGATGCTAGAGTACTCTGGACGTTCTTTGTGACTTTATCTGACCACAATCTTTCTAATCTTTTACAGAGCATGGCTAGCCTCTGGTCTGCATCTTCTTCCGACTCCATGGAGGTGGTTTGACACCGGTGCTTCTGTAGCTTCCCGCACCAGATGACGCAAGAAAACCTTACCTTCACAGGAGAGTTCCCGCTCCAGAGAGCGATTTGAGGGTTCTGCTGAAGCGTTCAAAACTATAGATCTGTAATGAGTAAATGGGTTTTGAGTGGGTGGACTGTGAACGAAGCATTAGGTTATGGGGGGGGGGGGGGGCTGTTTGTGATTCAAGGTGGCTGAGTCTGAAACGGGAAGGAAAACGTGGGGTAGTAAAGGTTTCCATCTGCTTAACTACAGAGAGGCTCTTACGGGGGAGCTGTTGGTGATTAATGGTGACTGAGTCTGAAAGGGGAAAGATGAAGTTTGGTAGTTAGGGTTTCCATTTGCTAAGCTACCACATTGGGTAGAGGGAAGCTCTTCCGAAGGAAAAGAGAGAAGAAGCAAACCTGTAGTTGTTACCTGAGGAGACAGACTTCCAGATTGTACTTTGCTGGTCGGCTGTATTATGGAAGACGAGCAGAGCCCATGGGCACTACAGGCCTGCATTGATGAGTGCAAGGCAAAACTGGCCCAACTAAAATTTGTGAACTTAGCCCGATGTCCGAGAGATGAGGTGCCTTTTGGTTTATTCACACAGATTTCATCATGTGTAGAGAGATATGTACAGATACTTTCGAAGTACTTCGTAGGTACGTAACTATCCATTCGGATCCAATCATTCATGCTTATCAAATCCCATATGATCTTACCTATTTTCCTTTTAAAAAAGGCGAAAATTTGTTTCATTAACATAACATTCAGGAAAAATAATAGGGGAATCAATTTGAAATGCCCAAACTTATGGGTAATATAATATGTATATAAATTATAATTGTATAATAGTTGGGTTAAATAGAATACACCATTCAATCCCAAGTTATATAGTAACTCGAGCACATATTCATTGTTCAATTTTTTTCGAGTGAGCTTGCATGGTTTTTCGCAAGTATTCGATTAACACGGACAGGTTTCATCAAATTTTTTTGTTGGGTTTGAATGTGTATATGTAAGAAAAAAACACATGTAGAAGTTTATAAAATTAATTCAAGTTTTGTGTTAAATCACGAATATGATTAACATATCGAATTCTCTAATTCCAAATCAAGATCAATTGAGGTTCTGGTGGCATGATTATCATGCCACGCAATGTCTGAAATGTTGTGATTCCGTACTTTTTTGATTTAGTACACGGTAATAATAATCATCACCTACATCTCATACTGACCAAAAAAAAAATAATCATCACCTGCATCTCATTATTTTTAATATCCATCTTGATTAAGGATCCGATGGGTTTTGGTTTTTAATGAAAGCAAAGCAAATTCATACTATCTCCCAAATATTCTATTAACACCCATGACAAATTGCTTAAGATGAATGAATCGCTATATTTCGTCAAATTTTAATAGGAATTCAAATCGACAGCATACAATATCAAGTAAATCTCGAACAACAGAGAATCTCTTGTCCATAATTTTCGAAATCGAGATTTTCTTTCTCAACTCCATCATGTATTTCCTCCGAGAAGATAAATAAGAGCTCCAAAATATGGGACTACTCTTCTGAGAGACGCATTTATACCGGTAATTAGGGTTCTTAGTCTCACAAACTTCCCATCTGCTTCTCTGGCTCAATTTAGTTCTCATGTCTCACAAACAACCTTGATAGATATAGCCACCAACAATGAGTTTTTTAGGTTATAGATTCAATTCCGGGCGTCGATCTCCGGCTGCGACAACCGTGTACTGCGAAATATGCATGGAACACATCCCCTCGGCCTCGAGTTTCAAGACCACCGCGCGCTGCAAGCACTCCTTCTGCAGAAGCTGCATGTCCTCGTACATCATGACGACCATTGGCGACGGAGTTGCCAAAGTGCGGTGCCCCAGTTTGCAATGCAAAGCCAGGCTCAACCCCCTCCGGTGCAAGGAGCTCGTCTCGAGCATGTCCCTCCTTACTGACGGGATTTACCCTAAACATAATCAGAACAATCACACAGATAATAGAAAAATTGACACACGAGTTTACCTAGGTTCACTCCAGAATAGGGCAATGTCCTGCAAAGGGATTCCACTATTATATTTAGGTTTTATAACCACAACCACTTGTTACAATGATTTCTCATATGAGTACAATATATAGGACTTAAAATGGACCCAAAGTCCAAGCCTATTCGAATCCCTTTAATCCCACAAAGGTAAGCAAACCCAATATTATTTCGGGAGCACTACCCCCGAGCCCCCGTCCGCTCATCGGGGAGCGGAACCCCCGCCTGCTATTCGAGCAGCAGGACCCCCGACATTCCGTGTGTAGGGGTCACATGCCGTCAGTTCATACTTCGGTTTTTCTAAGCTCACGTGGGTATGCCTGGTATGAGAAACAAGGGTCCTCGAAGTATTCACAAACTCCAACACTTATTTGGTGCGACCTTCTGTGCGAGTCGTATGTTCTAGGCCTTGCGAGGAGTTACTGCCCGGACTTGAATTGCCAAGAGGTTATCATGAATGAGTGTGAACAAAGTGGCCACAAAAAGAGATTCGAGTGTCCTCGATGTCATCCGAAAGGTTGTTTTCAGTGTGCAAGGGCATGGACCAAAGGTCATAGATATAAAGGTACGCATGATGTGGATCTTCCTCTATTGAAGAATCTCGCAAATAGGAAGAAATGGATTCGGTGCCCTAATTGCCACATGTATGTGGAGCGTGACGGAGGTTGTTCTTATGTCTTCTGCAGGTAATATCTTCTTGGTTTCTTTTGCAAAGTACACAGGCTTCTCTGTGCTTGTTACACTATTGTATAGTTGATTACATACAATATGATCAAGTTCTGTTTCGATGTTATTTGAGTTTGGGTTAACTAAGGTCGATAAGGTTCTCGATCTCTAGGCATTGAATCTGTGAAATTCAGATGTATATACACACACGTAAGTCTGCATTCTCAAATCTCTACTAGGGTTTTTTGCTTAATTCTGAAAAAGAAAACTTGACATGTTATCTTTTTTCAAACCCGATTTTTACTTTTGGCTGATAAGTTTTTTCAAACGTAGTTTTACTTTGGAACGTGAAATATAGTTCTAACAGAGCGTTAGTTCAAATCGCATCTTTACAATTCAGATAGTTTCCACTTTGACTTATCATTCTGATGCGCTTAATTATGCTGTTAATTAAGCTAGAAATCTATGATCCACGTTATTTTTAAACTGAAAGCAAGTGTACCCAGCTTTTCTTATCGTCTAATTAGCCGCGGATCATGATTACAAAACACCCTAAGGGGCTATCGTTTTGGATATTAATGCAGATGCCAAACGCTATTTTGCCATCACTGCGGGCAGAGAAATGACCTCCGTCCTTGTCCGTGCAGAGAAAGCCAGATCGTTGTTCATCGAAGCGTTTCTGCATACGCGCGTATTGCTCTAGCTTTGGCTCTATGTTGCTTCTTCTTTATTTTCGGCATCTATACAAAGCAATTTATCAACTCTTAACGGAGAAAAAAGGAGAAATTATTTTAAAAGGAGAACTATAATTCGCTTAAGGGAACAAGAACGTCATGTTCTTTCTTGTGAAGGCGCATCGTAGCAGCAGCAGCAGCAGCAGCAGCATCTTATTTGTTTGAAGACGGCAGCTAAAGATTATGCACTCCGCCTTTCTTTGGCGTTGAGTTCATTATTATGCTATCATCTATCTTAATTTAGTATGTCGTTCCCGTTGTTATGTTATCTTTGGACGACTTGACTATTATATTTTATTTGCATCCGGGGTTGAATTCTTTTGACATACCTGAAAATTATATTGTAGATCACTTCGGTATACATAGAAGTTCCTCTTCGTATAATTGTTGTAAGAGATGCCCGCATATACTTTTTGACTGGAAACTTGCTAGTCAGACAAACAAGTCGGTAAGCACATTGAATTTCTCACTATTTATACATTAAAAGTTGATGAATACTTTTCTATACTAAAAATCGCTCTTCCGTCTTATTTTTTCATTATCATAACTTGCAAAATTTCATGGTATCCTCTCAAATACTCCCCTCACTTTAATTAGTTTATTTTAAAATTAGAAGATCAACAATTTAACCATGAAGGCCTGACCATTAAGTTTTGTGGAAGTGTAGGAATTAGATATGAATGCTTAGATAAAATTAACTCTATGATGTTGGAGCCTGTGAACTTTTTAAAGATGAGTTTTCATCTATACGAGAGTAGCATCTTGAGTCACATAGATTGTGCTTACGATCCAATCATTAAGATAACATAAATGGTCATTTTATCAATTAGTCTTTCGTTATAATGTCTTACTATTATAAAAGTTCGAGAGATGTCAAACTTATTAAAGCTAATTTATAAATTGGTTTGATATGACTGGCCGTATTGATTTCTGCATATGACTCACCATTCGTTGTTTGACACGTCAATTAGTAAATCAATTTTATAAATCGTTATCAGTGAATCTAGCATTGCAACCATCCAACCTGGATGTCTTTTCCAATTCTGGTTCTGGTGGAGATATTATCTCCAAATTACCAACTTATACAACTGCCAAAAGATAAGGTCTCTTTAATTTTCAATTTTGGCACAGTAAACATCCATATAGTAAACCCGCCATAAATTTTCATCTAATATGCTTTGTAAGTCGAATTTACAAGCAATGTAAATCGACCACATACAAAATTGAGTAAATCTCGAACCACGGATAATCTCCAATCCATAATATTTGAAATTGAGATTTTCTTTCTCAACTCCTACATGTATTTGCTCTGACAAGATAAATGAAAACTCCAGAATATAAGAGTACTCTTTCGAGGAACGCATGTACGCTGGTAATTAGGGTTCTCAATCTCACAAACTTCCTATCTGCATCTCTGGTTCAATTTAGGTCATAGTCTCACAAACAAAGTAGATATAGCCACCGACAATGAGAGTTTTAGGTTTTAGATTCAATTTCTAGCGTCTATTTCCGGCTGCGACAACCATGTACTGCAAAATATGCATGGAACATGTCCCATTGGCCTCGAGCTTCAAGACCACAGCGCAGTGCAAGCACTCCTTCGGTAGAAGCTGCTTGTCCTCTTACATCACCATGAGGGCCAACGACGGAGTTGCGAAAATGCCATGCCCCGGTTTGCAATGCCAAGCCATGCTCGACCCCCTTCATTGTGAGGAGCTCATCTCGAGCAAGTCTTTCCTTACATGGTGCGACCTTCTGTATGAGCGGTACGCTCTAGGTCTTGAGAGGTGTTACTGCCCGAACTTGAATTGCCATGAGGTCACCTTGAACGAGTGTGGATGGAAAGGCAATGTCAAGAGATTTAAGTGTCCTCGATGCCATCGAAGAGGTTGTTTCCAGTGTGCGGAAGTATGGACCGAATGTCATCAATGTAGAAGTACTCAGGATGTGGATCTTAGTCTATTTGAACATCTCACAAACGCAAAGAAGTTGATGCGGTGCCCTAATTGTCACATGTATGTGGAGCGCGACGGAGGTTGTTCTTATATCTTCTGCAGGTAATATGTTCTTGGTTTCTTTCGCAAAGTACACACTACACAGGCTTCTCTGTGCTTGTTACCCATACATAATTTGAGTTGACAACGAGTGATTAATTACTCAAGTAGTAAGCGTTGCTCCACAGGATTCTTCATTGAAAGTGCACCAAGCTATGCTTTGATTATTCTTCTGGGTTTCTAAAATTTCAATTACTAGGTCAAGAAGGATTCTGGAGTTCTAATCTATTGATCCAGTCATGATCAAGTTCTTTTTTCAATATTATTCGAGTTTGGATTAACTAGGGTCGATAAGGTTCTCGATCTCTAGGCATTGTTTCAGTTAAGATAGTTTTTTCACGGATGTTTCACTAGGCTTTTTAGTTTTGTTGCGAAAAAAGACAATTTAAAACGTTGTCTTGTTTCACACCTAGTTTTTACTTTTAAACATGAAATACAGTGCTAATGGAGCGTAGCTCACGTCGCATCTGTATCATGCAAATAGTTTTCGCTTTGATTTCATCATTCTAGCTTTTCCACTTTCTTTATCATTCTGATGCCTTTTATTATGCTGCTAATTAAGCTAGAAATCTACAAATTACGTTATTTTTAAGCTGAAAGCAAGTGTACCGAGCTTTTCTTATCGTCTAATTAGCTGCAAATCATGATTACAGACACCCTAAGGGGCTTTCGTTTCGATATTAATGCAGATGCCAAACGCCGTTTTGGCATCACTGCGGGCAGAAAAAGGACCTACGTCCTTGTCCATGCTCAGGTCATCCAAGCATTCCTACAATCGTGCTTCTGGCTCTAGCATTGCTCTTAAACATTCTCGCCCCCCATTTGGACCGATATATCGACTCTTGAGTGTCCTCGTAGCACGAGGCCCGTGTTCACTTTATCAGTTCATCATTATTTTAGGGAGAAAATGGGGAAATTCGCATTAAGAAGACAGCTAAGAGAGTCAAATATGTTCAAGGTTATATTGTCTCTATAAAAAAAAAGTCAAAGAGAGGCAAATATGTTCTTCTCAGATAAGATAGGGGAAATAATTATCGTGATCGACATGATATTTTTATTGCATGTCAGAGAAGAAAGACAGGATCTTGTTTGATTGACTATCCTTTTGAAGAGCTTTCCTATAAAAAGAAGAATGGATTAGTGTCGCTCAAAATATAGAATGCATCACACAATAAATAATTAAAAATTGGATTATTAGTTTCACCGAATAAAATGAAAGTTGAGCGATTAAAATACACGGACCACAACGTAATAACACATACTAGAGTAATACTTAAACGAAATGCATATTAAATCTAGTAGATGGTTCTTTTCACTTTTACTTGTGCTTAAGTTACTTTTTGAATAATAGTTTCCTAATAAAAAAAAGAAATATACAACTCATAACAAAATAATTAGTATTTTTGTCAGAAACACGAAAATTTATTAGCTATCTACCAAATAAACTATTTTTTTTAAAAGAGGTACACCGATTTTGTTATAAATGGAGAAAGAAAAGGGAAAAAAACCAAAAATGAAGAAAAGAAGGCAAGCAATAATAAATGTTGTTTAAGAGAAGCATCAATAGTTTTGTTTCTTGTTGTAAAGTTGAAACAGAAGGAAAAGAAGAAAAAAATGTAAGAAATAATCTACCCGTAAATGATAATATAATCAATTCAACAAAAAATGAGGGTGTGGAAATAGGGCGAGCAATGATGGTGGTGTAGTGTCCAATGGTAATGGCATGGCATCCAAAAACCTGATCCTCTCTTAGGTGCGTCTACGGTTCTCCAAAAGATTAATCGAATTCCGGTAAAAGTGTATTAATTGCAAAAGGAAATTTGAAATTTATTTTTGGAATTAATCGAAATCACCGTTTAGCGAAATTGGTTGTAAATTTCTTATGTTTCAAAATAATCACGAGTGAAATTTACACCCTGAAATTCCTATGCCATTACAAGTTATTAGGATTTACTTTTTTCCCACGAAGGGGAACTCCGTTTCTAATTCTGTAAACCGATTTCAGTAAATATAGCATTGCGACCATCCATCCCCCAATATTTTTTTTCCAAATTTTGATTGTAGTTGAGATACCATATCGAAATTACCAAGTTGAATGAATCACTACCAAAAGATTTAATTTCCGATTTAGTACATCAAACATCCATATGACAAGCCCATCCTTAATTCAAAACTTGAATCTTTCCCCAAGAAATCCCACTAAAACCGATGATAATTCGGATTTAATAAGGATAGATATCAAACATTAGACAACACAAAAAAATCTATGAAATTTCTCGAATCTAACAAGAGATAACCTCTCATCCACAGCAAATGAAATTGAGATTGTCTTTTCTCAGCATCAACCGTGCATGAGTACTCTTTTGAGAAGCGCACTTATGCCGGCAATCTGGGGTTCTTGGTCTCACAAACTTCCTACCTGCTTTCTGCGGTTCCATTAAGGTCTTAGTCTCACAAACATCCTAGAAACAAGTTACCAACAATGAGATTTTTGTGGTTTAGATTCAATTTCAGACGTCGGAAACTATTTCGGGCTGCGCCAACCGTGTACTGCGAGATATGCATAGAACGTGTCCCGTCGACCTCCAGGTTCAAGACCACAGCACGGTGCAAGCACTCCTTTTGCAGCCGCTGCTTGTCCTCGTACGTCACCCTGAGAATCGGCGATGGAATTGCGGATGTGCGATGCCCTGGTTCGAATTGCCGAGCCGGGCTCAACCCCCTCCGATGCAGGGAGCTCCTCTCGAGCGAAACCTTTCTCAAGTGGTGTGACCTTCTATGTGAGTCGAGCGTTGTAGGTCTCACGAGGTGTTACTGCCCGAACTTGAATTGCCGAGAGCTCATTGTGGACGAGTGTGGACAGAGTGGCGATGTCAAAAGATTCAAGTGCCCTAGCTGTCGCCGGAGGGGTTGTTTCCGGTGTGCAAGCGCATGGGCCAAAGGTCATCGATGTAGGAGTACGCATGACAAGGACCTTATTCTATTGGAACGTCTAGCGGACATGAAGAAGTGGGTGCGGTGCCCTAATTGCCGCATGTACGTCGAGCGCAACGAAGGTTGCAATCTAATCCATTGCAGGTAATCAAAAGAGTGCTAGTAGACAGTACTTTTTCATGATCATGCTTTCATCTGCCAAAATCATGTTTAGAAACTACCAATCTTAAGGTTGGCTTTGGTTTTGGATATGAATTGGCAGATGCGTAAGGTGTTTTTGCTATGCTTGCGGGAAGAACCAACGCCAATTTAGCTGTCGCTGCTTCCGAAGATTGTTTTAGATACCCTTCAGCTCCGGGCAGCAGCGGCACCAACTGTTTTTCCAGCCACATGCCTCGCCGTCGTCGTCTGTCAAGTTATTGACATCATCATCTGCTGTTGTTTTCGGGGAAAACGGCGGGTGAATTCACCGGAGGAATTGGGGAATCAGCCTGAGGGGACAAGAAGCGCCGTATGAATTGCTCCTTAACTGGTGCGAATGTTCTGTTCTGTTCTGTTTCCCTTTATGTAACCGTAGATTTTCGCATGATTCTAGCAGAGATAAGCTGTCACAATCTTCGATTCAGCATACAGGAATGCGTGCAAAGAGGGACGAAGAACGGAGCTAGTTTTCTGTTTAGACATATATCAAGGTTAAATTTGATGATGAAGTTGAGATATTTAGCTCTTAGATTATGGTTCGATATCGGACGTTGATTACCGGTGTCGACCGATGGACGCGCTCCTTCCGCACGCCCTTCTTGTCCTTGTACATTGCCACGAAGACCGGCGACAGAGAGTTGGGTTGCCGAGCACTCAACCCCCTCGGTGGAAGGGAGCTCCTTCCTTTACATGGTGGGCAAATCCTCTAGGCGAATCGAATGTGTTCGGGCTTCATGCCGCGAGGGTGGAGGGAAGGGGGCAATGCCGAGAGAGTCGATTCGAGTGTCCTGGTCGCTATCGGTGCACAGAGCGCACGGATTGCTCTCTGGTATGCTTGATGCGGATAGACGTCTCATGCACCACCCCAATTACAAATTTCCGAGTAAGACGGTCGATTTGATCGTTATGATTCGCCATAGGGATTGATTAAATCCGACTCAGCTTCAATCCTAATGACCGGTGATGATCCATCTCCCGACCCGGTTCGTCTCTGTTCGATCCAATTGGGCTGTGATGATGTCAGAATTTCCACGATCGGGCGATTCTCGGTTCTATCGCACACCCACTTACCAGGATTGACCCATCATCACCCGACATTTTGCTTTCACCATTTCAATTCATCTCATCAAGAAGCATGTCTCGAATTCGCCCCCAATTTCATCAACACAATTCATTTCCGGCACATTGCAATCGAACGGGGTTGCCCCGACCCGACAGTGAAAATTAACATTTACAAAGTACCAATATTTAGTTTAAAAAAAACAAGCAAAACAAAGAAAAAAAAAAAACAGGAGAAATCGCTAACCAGACAAGCCAAGGTAAATCGCCGTGGCGACGCCGAGCGCGTAGACCCCGATCGCCGACCCGATGACCTCCTTCCCGCTCCTCGTCGCCATCCCCAGCCCCGCGATCCCCGCCACCCCGATCGGCACCCGCGTCATCGCCGCCCTCCCGGCGCCCTCCACCACGGCCCCGGCGAACAGCTCGGCGGCCCACTCCCTGAACTCCGCCGCCCCGAGCAGCTGGGGCCCGTCGCCCTCCCCGCCGCCGCCGGCGCCCGGACTCCGGCGATCGGCGGCGGTGGCGCGGCGGAGGGCGCGGTCGACCTGGGACTGGGAGGGTGGGGAGGGGACCCACCTGGAGACGAGAGGGAAGGAGAGGGAGAGGGAGCGGTGGAGGAGGGCGGAGGCGGAGGAGAGCTGGTAGGGGAAGACGCCGTCGAAGGCGTGCTGGGTGAGGGCGAGGCAGTGGTCGTAGGCGGTGTCGCAGGCCGAGTCGAACTCCGGCGAGCTGCGGAGGGAGGACCTCACCCTCTTCGACGCCGATATCCCCATATCCCCCCCTATGGCTTGGACGAATGATTGGACTGTGCAGTGGCTGATGAAGATAATTTCTTGTATCTCTCGTGTTTTTTGTTTTTATTTTTCCTTATTTTCATCGAAGAAGGAGTGAGTTTTGGGCTGCTTTTTGTGGGCCCGCTTTGGGATAAGTTTTCTTTAAGGTCGAGCCCATCTTGAATTTTATAGGTGAATCTTAAGGCTCCAGCAAGGTTTATGTTCGAAATAGAACTCAAAAACATTTAACTGTTTATGACTTAGTCGGGTCTTAAGTATTTTCCAACCTTGAACTATACTTAGTCAAAGTACTTTAAGGTAATCAAACTCGTGAATAACATAGTCGAGTTTGAGTTATGAGCTTGAGTAGATTATTAGGCTACGTTTGTGTTGAGAAAACTCAATCCCCAATCATTGCGTTCGAAACATATTCGGAACGAATTCGATCAATGCGGAAAACGTGCCCGAGGACTATCAACTTGTACCACCGATCGTACAGGTATATCACACAACGAACATACCCGGTATTGTCACAGATTAAGTGCCGCTTTTGCGCTTGAGAGTTCTTCGATCGTCTTTCGTACTCACGTGCGTTCCGAAGGAAAACAGAGAAGACGTTGTATCGAAGGAGTGTGTTTGCATATATGGAAAATCACGTCTGTTTTCCAAGGGGTGCCTTCTATTATAGATAGACAAATAACTACCTCATGGGCCCTTGTGGCTCATGGGTCGGGTTTGGCCCATCTTGGGCGGTCCACCCAATATGTCTTACATCTCCCACTCGCCCACGATGGGCTAAACACAACTCTCTTCCTTGCAAAGTTCATATTGGCAAATAATCAGTGCGACCAGCATACTACGAGAGCTCGTTGTTATACATCTGTTAGGAATATATAACAGCTCAAATTGGGCATTATCCAAAGTAGAATTAGTATGCAGTTCCCTAGATCAATCAGTCACAATTTTCATCTCTTTTAATCTCTTTTAGTATCTCGTATATTGTATTCACAACTATGATTTACTCAAAATCATAATTGGTCGACCTGTGAATACAAATATAGAATGTGACATCATAAATCAAATTGATCTTCCTCTTTCCTTAAGCCTCTCCATTTCAGTCCAACTCGCTTTTCTAGAAATGCCCCGTTAGATCGAATTATCATGATCATCGGCAACATCCTAAGATAGCAAACACTGAATAGAAATTTTGAGAATAAGTAAGAGTCGTGAGGGCACTTTAATTGAGAAAAACTATTTCCCTCAAGAGTCTCACACGACTTAAAAGTTGAGATCATAACTTTTTGTCAACTCTTATCGGTCGTCCCATGCATACGTAATATGAAATACGTATTACGGTATTCTCTCCTTTTCCCATAGAGCGTATGTCTTTACTCTCAATACCGTACATATGATAATTTAGACATACTCAATGTCTAACTTGAGTTCACAAATCTACTCTATTCATAAGCATCTATCAGAACTCACATCTGGCATTAAAGACAGGTAAAGTGAAAATATGTTGGTCATTTCACTTTCGGACATAATAATCTATATGTCCTCATCTTAACATTCTGTTAAGGCGACGTCCACGCTTCAAGCTTGAGTTCTCAATTATCACCTAGATAACAAGCTTAAAACTGTCTCATCTCTATTCATCACACAGTGAGTAGAGGCGATTACCCGTGTGAGTGGGCTAATCTCTCATCTGTCCGACATACCTTTTCAATATAATACACTCAGCATCGATATTCACAAACGTCATACAAACTTATAGGCATTAATAATAACAAACTTCATTAATAGTGAACATTCTGGGAAAATTACAATATTCAGTACATCATATTCTACACAGTCCTAGAGATCTCACATGACCATGGAAAACTTCTCTAGGAATCGGCTTCGTCATAGGATCTGCTATCATTCTTTATGTAGATATGTACTTCACATTCACTTCCTTTCGTGCAACCATGTCCTTAACATAGTTATACTTGATATCTATATGTTTGGTCTTTCCATGGTACTTGGGATCCTTAGTGTACGCTATTACTGCTTGGCTGTCACAATAGACCAATACTGGGTTTGCAGCATTCTCAGTAACACCTAAGTGATCCAAAAATCTTCTAAGCCAAACAGCTTCTTGTGCCGCTGCTGATAGAGCCACGAACTCGGCTTCCATTGTAGATAAGGCTACACACTGTTGCTTATTACTGCTCCAAGATATGGCGCCATTATTCAGTAAGAACACGTATCCAGAAGTAGATTTCCTTTCTTTTAAATCTCCTCCCCAGTCAGCATCAGTATAGCCTTCAAGGTGTAGATCACTTCCTTGATAAGTCAGCGCATAGTCGGCACTTCCCTTTAGATATCTCAGGATTCTTTTGACGGCGATCCAATGTGCTTGACCTGGATTAGATTGGTATCTACTTAACATTCCAACTGCATAACAAATATCAGGTCTTGTACACATCATAGCGTACATCAAGCTTCCGATAGCATTAGCATATGGAACTTGTTCCGTTTGCTCCTTTTCTTGTGAAGTCTTAGGACACATTCTATCGCTTAATGCTTCGCCCTTTGCAATAGGAGTATCTATTGGTTTACAGTCTTGCATACGAAATCGCTCAAGGATTTTATTCACATACGTCTCTTGTGAAAGGGATAGGGATTTCTTTGAGTGATCTCTTGAAATCTTAACTCCAAGAATGTATGCAGCTTCACCCATATCTTTCATCTCAAAATTGGAAGATAACTAATTCTTGACTGTATTAACCAACTCCATACTGCTTCCGGCAATTAGTATATTATCAACATATAATGACAAGATCACAAATTGATCTTTGGATCTTTTGATATATACACAATTGTCTTCACTAATCATTACAAAATCATATGTCATTATGGCATTGTGAAAACGTATATACCATTGTCTCGAAGACTGCTTAAGGCCATATATCGACCTCAATAGTCGACACACTTTGTGCTCCTGGCCTTTTGTAATGAAACCAACAGGTTGTTCCATATAAATTTCTTGCTCTAATTCTCCATTGAGGAATGCAGTCTTTACATCCATTTGATGTAATTCCAGATCCATACTAGCTACTATTGCCAGAATAAGGCGAATAGAGGTAAATCTAACCACAGGAGAAAAAGTTTCTTGAAAGTCAACTCCTTCCTGTTGATTATATCCTTTCGCCACAAGGCGAGCCTTATACCTCTCTATTGAGCCATCAGCCTTACGCTTTATTTTGAGAACCCACTTGTTCCCAATAGCTTTGCGTCATTTTGGAAGGTCAACCAATTCCCAAACTTGGTTTGATCTTAATGACTCCATTTCCTCTTCCATTGCATGTATCCATTCTTCCTTATCAGGGCACTTTAGAGCATCGTTCACATTCTTCGGCTCATCTTCATCTTGTGGGGCGATCATAAAAGCTTCTCCTTCAATGTCAAAACGTCGACGGGGAATCCTATTACGACTTGACTGTCGTATGGAATGCTGTACTCCTGATGATTCACCACGTTCCATTGCGCTTCCACTCGAATGAGATAATGGTGGTGTCGTCTCTTTAAGTGGTTGCAATTGAGACTGGGTTGCATTCAACTCTCCATTTGTCACAATGCTCCAACTAACTTCACTATCACGATCCACAGATTCGTATAGTGAGTAATCACCACCTACTTCGCCCTTTTTAGGAAATTCATTCTCTAAGAATGTGACATCCCGTGATTCAAATTCAGTTATACTTCCGCTTTCTTGCTCACCTATGAATACATATCCTTTTGAGTGCTCTGAGTATCTTATAAAAATACTCTTTTTGCCTCTTGGGCCTAATTTTCCATACTTGTGAGAAGACTCACGAGTATAGGTAGCACAACCCCAATGTTTTAGAAAGCTTAAATCAGGCTTTCTGCCTGTCCATAACTCATATGGAGTAGAAACAACTGATTTAGAAGGCACACGGTTAAGTATGTAGGCAGCAGTCAACAAAGCATCACCCCAAAAGGTGATGGGCAAGTTAGCTTGTGCCATCATTAATCTAACCATTTCCATTAAGGTTCTGTTTCTCCTTTCCGCAACACCATTTTGTTGATGAGTATATGGAATAGTCAGTTGTCTTTCTATTCCCTTTTCATCACATAAATTTCTGAACTGATCAGACAGATATTCTCGACCTCGATCGGATCTTAATGCTTTTATTTTCTTGTCTAATTGATTTTCCACTAAGCTCATAAAATCTTTTAAAGCAATTTAAAGCTTCGGACTTATGAGAAATCAAATCGACATGTCCAAATCGAGTATAATCATCAATGAATGTGATGAAATAAACAGACCCGTGCCTTTCTTTTATATTCATTGGACCACAAATGTCAGTATGGATTAATTGCAAAGGAAATTCAGCTCTTGTTCCTTTTCCAAATGGTTTCCGCGTTGTTTTTCCTTCTAGGAAATGCTCACATATGGGCAAATCAACCTTTTTAATATTGCCCAATAAGCCATCTTTAGCCAATCTATTCATTCTTTGTTGGCCAATATGACCAAGTCTAGCATGCCACACGTTCACATCATTCTCATAAGAATCAGATGATGTAAATAAGGAATAACTAACATTAACTTCACAATAGTCAACATCTAAAACAATGAAACCATCTAAAAAATATCCGGAACCATAATAACTTGTACCTAAACACAAGTCTACACCATTGTTATGGAAGTTTACATTAAAACCAAGTCTAACTAAAACCAACACCGAAACTAAGTTCCGACGAATCTCCGGAGCAAATAGCACATCATGTAGGAACAATGTGCGTCCACCGCGCATAAGTAGTTGACAGGTGCCAATGCCTCTGACCTCCACTCTTGAATTGTTCCCCATGTATATCCACTTCGTTCCTTGTGGAACTCGTCAGAACTCTACGAAAGCTTCTCGTTCTTCGCTACATGGTCTTGGCTCCCGAGTCTACATCCACAAAGGATTAGATTCGGTTAGAAACACCGAACTAGACACATAAGTAGCATTTTCATGAATGCTAAGGGTTTCTACCTTCTTTGGCTCGCCACAGTCGCGAGCAAAGTGACCCTTATTGCCACAGTTGAAACATTTCACTCTTGAAATGTTCTTCTTGAAAGGACGCTTTCCTTTCTCCCGTTGGTTGAGCCTCGGCTTCTTCCCTGAAGGACTTGGCCCCTTGCCTTTCCACTTCTTTGACCCAACAGGGTGCTTCCTCTTGGAGCCCGAAACTCCATGCGAGCTAGAACCAGCAAAGTAAATATCAGTTTCTGGCTTAGCCGTCATGAGGCGATCCTCTTCCAGCTCAAGATGCCGCATAGCATCCTCGAAGGTCTTGATACCCTCATTGTGGGTCAAATGGATCTTCATGTGCTTCCACTTTGAGGCAAAGAGCGGATTGCACTCACTGCTTTGTTCATCGGTGAGTATGTGCCCGGCATCCTTTAGCTCACTAATCATATTCGACATCTGCCTCAAATGTTGTTTCATGGTCTTTCCATGAGACATCTTATATGAGTCGAAACGGATAGTGAGTTGTCTTAGTTTGGTCACAGAAGTTCGACGAAATCTTGATGCCAGTGCAGCCCACATGTCTTTGGTGCTCTAGAAACGTCCGAACTCTCACATGATGTCATTGTCCATGCTGCTTAGCAACGTAATGCGAGCAAGAGAGTTCTTTCTTTTCCAAACAGCAAAGGCATCTTTGTCCCTCTTGTGTTTGGCAGTTGTCCCATCCTCAGGTTCTTCCATAATCTGGTTAAGAGCTTCGAGTGCCTCTTGCTCTTCCAGCACATATTGAATCTTGAGACTCCAAATCTCATAATTGTCGCCATTCAATTTTTCTCCCTTATTAAGTTCAGCCACTATGTTCTTAGTTGCTGAAGCCATCGTATCTGAACATTTCAGACACATACGCACGAGTTATTAAAGCCTATCTAAATGCTTCATCAGCATCATGATTACATAAACTAATCATGTTAATGAATAGTTTCACAAAAGGTCTTAGAGTCGAAAGTTCACAATGTTCCCAATCATCGTCTAAAAAACCTAATTTGAAATTACCATTAACATAATCATTTATGTAATGAAATTGGTTCTTCAAAAGTTATACAAACTTTGAAGAACTTCCCACATAAAACATAACGCATAATATGGCAATATAAAATGAGAAATCACCAAAAATTCATAACCATATATATATATATATATATATATATATATATATATATCATAACACATTCACAAATGTTTAAGAATATGTAATATCAATTAGAAACATGTACAGAATTGGTTCCAGATCCTAAAAGAATAACATCAAGTGTACCAATCCAACACATAGACAGGAAAGGACTCATAAAATTCTTTAGAAAGTTTTATTTTCTTCGGAACATAAACAGAGGCTCCCGGAAAACCCTTAGATCCGGGCCATGGTTTGCGCCGAGACCCATTCAATGCAAGGGTTGATGTTCTCCTTGCCCCGACCCTTATGTATTGTTGCAGAAAATTCTCCATAAGCATCTTATAGCTTGGACCCTTTAAGGTTTCTCTAACCTCATCAAGCATTCTTTCCAACTCCTCAGGAATAGTGCATTTTAGGGCTCCGACCATTACATATTCCGGCATTACAAAACCGTTCCAAATGATATCCTGTATCATTTTGTTGACCTTGATGATGTGTGTCATCATATCATCTCTAGCGTCCCATCGATAAAGAGCTAGCTTGACTCTTAAATTCTCAAGCTTTTCCTTTTGAGCTGCCGTTCTGGGGATTATCGGAGTGCGTCTCAAATGTACCATTGTTCCTGCAACGAATGCAGAACAAAGGATTACTTATAATCCATGATACATTAAGATAAGGAATGCTTATTCATATACATATTATCTAGCACTTGTATTTCAAAAAACTATAGAGAAATACTAGAGAAAATGCTAAAGAATATACCCCTAAGTACGTGTACATAGGGTTTATCGTGCATTTTCACATTCATAAGTGTAGCAAAAATATAATATGAATACACCATAACGTAGAACATTCTGATATGAGCATGTCGATACCAAGAACGCCCAAATCGGAGTTCAAATGAGCTCGAACGGGCCGAAAGAAATAACTGGGTCATTCTGCCGGTTTGAATCGGTCCGGTTCGACCGGTTTGACCGGTCCGACCGTTGACTGGTCAACGGTCAACTGGTTCGGTCAACGGTCAACCGGGTTGGGTCAACGGGTTGGGTCAACGGTAAAATCGGGTTGGGTCAACGGTCAACCGGGTCGGGTCAACGGTCAACCGGGTCGGGTCTCGGGTCGGGTCAATGGGTCCGCTCCTGATGACGTCACGATGACGTCATCATCGGCGGTTAGCGGCGACCGACGCGCTGTTTCGCACGGCCGCGCGTGGTACGCACGCGCCGTCGCGCGCACTGCCCTTGACAGCGCGGGAGGGCGCGTGCGGCGTCCTCCGGCGACGCGCCGCCCATCATTTTGCTCGTCTCGACGAGCCCTTTCTGTTTATACAATAAAATTCAAGTTTTGACGAAAAACAAAAATCGAAACATGCATCAACAGTTCGGCGACGCGACGAAAACGAACAAAAAAAACAAGGCCGAAACGAAAAAACAAGCAGTATAGTAGAGACGGTACACATGCATGATCGGGAAACAAGTAAACGGGCTCTGATACCAATGTTGGGAAAACTCAATCCCCGATCATTGCGTTCGAAACATATTCGAAACGAATTCGATCAATGCGGAAAACGTGCCCTAGGACCATCAACTTGTATCACCGATCGTACAGGTATATCACACAACGAACATACCCGGTATTGTCACAGATTAAGTGCCGCTTTTGTGCTTGAGAGTTCTTCGATCGTCTTTCGTACTCACGTGCGTTCCGAAGGAAAACAGAGAAAACGTTGTATCGAAGGAGTGTGTTTGCATATATGGAAAATCACGTCTGTTTTCCAAGGGGTGCCTTCTATTATAGATAGACAAATAACTACCTCATGGGCCCTTGTGGCTCATGGGCCGGGTTTGGCCCATCTTGGACGGTCCACCCAATATGTCTTACAGTTTGATTCAATTTTCCCAAAAAACTCGAGGGAAACTTAGGGTTTTTGGCAAAGTTTTTTGTCCCGCTTTTCGGCCAAGTGCTAGAAGCCCAAGGCTAGTGGACTTGGCTTGGGCTTTCGGTGTTTTTAGAATATCATTTCCTAGGATTAATAATCTTTTTCTTTCAAAACTGCCTTCACCATTTTTTTTTTTTTTTGCTTTTCTGGTTTGGCCCTCGTAAGAACTGTTACTCCACCTAGATAGCCGGTGAAGCTCCATCGAGAGTTGCGGAAGGCCGGCCGACGTTAGCCGACGGTCGAGGTCGGGTCATGCGACCACGGTAGCCCCAACCAGAGGCTTGGTTGCTTCGTCATCATAAACATCGGAAAGTCAACCACACGATGTAATAAATAACGCCTTAAGACTCCAAAGGTGCCACATACTAAGACAACATGATGCATTGGACGTATAGTTTTTACATATTGATTGGTACGTCCTGAAATGATCAACCTTAAAAAAGTGACGATTAACATCAATTTCATCTCGTGCGGTTCAGACCATGAAAATGGTGCGCTACTGACATTGTGATCATTCTGCATTCGAGAGCATTGCAGAAGAAGACGAAACCGAAGATTGCTTAGAAGAAGAGGCAGTCAATGTGGATAGCTCGATCAGAGAATTGGATGCTTCGCCGCTAGTTGTGGCCCCGTAGGATGAAATGTGCGACGGAGCTGATGGGACTCTCGGAACTAGCGGTTGAGACGGGAGACTAGGCAGCGGAGAGTCGAAGTTCAGAACATTTACCGCTTCTCTTATGGAAGGCCGACATAGAGGGTCCGCTTGAGTGCACCAAAGCCCTACAATCATCAAGCGCTCCATTTGCATCTCGTCGAAATGCTCCCCTAGCTTCGGGTCCGCCGCATGTAGGAGCTCTCCGGTTCCATATAGCTCCCACACCCACTGCATCACAAGCTGAGTTTCGCTTCCTTCTTCTCTGGGCTCGATGAGTCTTCTTCCGCATGCTATTTCTAACAGGACAGCTCCAAAGCTGTACATGTCGGATTCCTTGCTCGCTCTGCCTGTATAGACACATTCGAGAGCCATATAGCCCACGGTTCCGGCCGGTATAGTTGTTTGTGACCCTTTGGCACGGTCAACCAGCCTAGCCAATCCAAAGTCCCCCAGTTTGGCGGTGGAATCCGAATCGAGCATGATGTTGCTCGGCTTTATATCCCTATGGATGACGCATTGCATCCACCCTTCGTGGAGGTATAGCAATGCGGAGGCTATGTCCTGAGCGATTTTGTACCTCCTCTCCCATGTTAGGAAAGCTTCGCTGTCGAACAAATGGGAGTCTAGGCTACCATTAGACATCAATTCGTAGACAAGGAGGAGCTCCTTTTTCTCGTGACACCAGCCGACGAGTTGGACCAAGTTTTTGTGCCTGAGTTGGCTGATGATCTTCACTTCTGTCGCGTACTCCTTAATCCCTTGTTTAGACTCCGCTCTGATCTTCTTGATAGCGACTCGAGAATTTGCATCCGATAGGTAGCCCTCGTACACTCTTCCAAATACACCTTCACCGAGCATTCGTGAATCTGCAAAATTGCTAGTTGCGTCCACCAACTCCCTGTATGAATATTTCTTGGGTCCCGAAACTTGGTCGAACTCTTCATCCATCGACGGAACATCATATTCTTCTCCACTCCTGTCGATTCTATCTTTCTTTGACCAGTAACGATACAAAGCAACGCTTGGGACAAGAATAAGCAACACAAAAGCGCCCAAACCTAAGAATGCCCGCATCAGCCATGGCTTGCTCTGGGGTGGGACGACGGGATCAGAGATGCTCGGGGGTGAGACGACGGGATCAGAGACTAAGAGACCAGAGCTAAACTCCCATGTATTAACGGTATGCGCCTCGAATTGGTATCCAGTTGTAGCCGAGAAACCGAAAGTCACCCATTCTGGCAAATAGTTCTTCAAGTTAATCGGTTGGTAAAGACTGGTATAATTGAGGTAGTCACCTGCCAGTGTGACACTTAAATTCTGTGTGCTAGAATTGTAAGTGACCTCGGCATGAAGTTGTCGACCATATTGTATGTGGTACTCCATCCAGTCGGCACAAACATTTTTGGCAGAAGCTATGCTATTTATATCGATGCCCACATGAATGCAGGGTGGATCCCATGAATTCCAATAGAAAGTATCAAATTCTACAGCAACGACCGGAGTGCTAGAATTGAAAGGACTCAGCTCACTTACAATCGCAAGATAACCTCCGGAGGAATTTTCGGGTATCTGAGATCCATTCGGAGTAAGAAAGAAAGTCATTCCATCAGCATGATTTGGGAAGGCTGCACCATTCTGGGATTTGATGGTGAAATTAAACCGAGCACTGAAGTCTGCCACGTTTCCTGTGTTATTATCCCAAAGGTGCATGGGTTGACTATATGTAGCCCAACCACTGATGCTAGTGAAGGCCCCCGATGGGTCGTCGAGAGTAAGTTGTATAACGTTACCGGCTCCTGTTACGGCCGCTTCTCCCTTACTGGATATGACGCTCGAGTTAAAAGGTGGGAAAGCGAAAGAAATTTTTTCAAAGGTTGCTGAACCTGCAAAATGGATGATCAGAGAGAAGATAGAGACTGCAAGTAGTAGAACACGTCGAAATTCCATCGTCAGGAGGCAACAAACATGATCGAGTATCGAGAGCTTTGCTGGGTCTCTTGATCTCGGGTGACCATGTGCTCCACTTCCTCCTCATGTATGCTCCAGGATAGAAGCCTGGAAAATGAGCAACATGAATTCATCTCATATTTGGACTGTTTCAATCTACTGGATCGAAAACAGTTAAAGTGGAAACTTGAGTTGAGGGAAGAAACGTCAACGATGACAAATTGCGTATGAGAGAAACGATAAGGAAATAAGTACAAGGATGCAATACAATATTGTAATTGGAAGCATGTATCAGAAAATGAATATGTTGATAACCAATGTAATCAAAATCAACAGTCTCAGCGTAAGACTTGGATTGATTATGACAATGTAAAAACAGAGAGTTTTAATGGGTCATCGACATGGACAAAGAGGCGCGACAAACAACTTAGTCATACTCGAGAGGTGAGACTCCTTCAAATGTTGGACCAGCTCTCAACTTTGATGCTATTAACTTTCTGATGAAAGTATAGAGTGTCGCCATAAAAGTCCTCTCTAGAAGAGAGAAGGCCAGGCACGTAGAATTAGGAAGAAGAGATAGTGTATACTATGATGACATTCACGGCGTTGTGATTCGCAGGGCGCTGCTGCCGTACACCAACTATACATCAATGGCATTGCCAAAAGATTATCGGCCCAGGTACAGAATATCAAGCGCCGAAAAGGAGGAGATTTACGAAGCAAAAAGAGCTGAAGCAAAGTGTCTTGTTTTTTTGGTAAGGTAAGAATATGTATAACTTTCCAAATCACCAAATACAACCTAAGCCCAAACCAGCTCATGACCATATTAGGACATAGTAATGTCCATACAAGGTCAAGAGGGTCCAGCAGGAACTATATAACAAGCCGAAGGACGGCTAAGAACATGGAAAAAAGAAATAAGAAGACAAAGACAACCAATCCAGCCGCAGATTGGATGGGCGACGCCAAAAACTCCGGCAATCTGTCAAGAGGGCCCCGAACATGAGCAAAGACTACCCAAGCAAAGACAAAAGGCGCCGGAAACCAAAACCACCACAATAAGCCGGGCCAAACCGAACCATGGAGGTGAAGCCCACAACTCCGGAATCCGCTCCAAAAGGCATCAGATCAGCCATAATCGTCATTAATCAAAGATAGAAGGAGGAAGGTCCCACTTTCTCTGGACAATGCGGTTCCTATAAGTATCCTCAACTGTCCCCATGGAAATAGCTTTGTCCTTCACGACTTTGAAGAGATGCTTACGCATACCAGGGATGAAAACGCTTTTGTTCCTGAAGATAGCGTCGGTAGTGATGCAAGTCAATATTCAATAGGTTACACTCAAGAAGAAGGTCTGCTTGAATTTCCAGAGCGTTTGGATAAAACCTAATTGTCTCAGGCTTGAACTTCCCATAAAAGAGCAGATGAATTCCAACGGGACAAAGATTCATGCCATAATTCTCAAGCTCAAAATGGGACACTTTAAGCCTTCTTAGAAAACTAAATAAAAACCTTGATGTTCAGCTGGTGCTAGCATCAGCTGAATAATTTGTGGAGCGTGCAATTCTTTTTGTATTACGATAAGGTAAAAATACTTGCACATGGTACTAGGAATCTTTTGTAACTTGTCTCCTCGATTTTCTTTGTTTTCTTAAGGAAAATTTCAAATAAAAATCTAAAGTAGAGCCGTTTTCAAAAAAAAAAAGTATAAATGGATTTTGTTTCAAATAAACGCATGAAGTGGCAAATTTAGTATCAAATAAGAGTTCAAATTTGCCGACCAATCAAATTTGCACCGGCTGCCTTTTTCTGACGGCTAGATTAGGGGCAATTTTATCCAAAATTTGCAAACAGAAAAAAAGGTTGAAACACCAGAATATTTTTTTTGGGGGGTCAAAAAACACCAGAACCTTGACAGCACTTGATAAACTAACTTTGAAAGCATCTATAAAATCAGTGGCCTCGGTCCTCATCCGACCATGTACGCTATCCGAGGCCCCCTCGATGAAAAAGAATGAACAGAATCACTCGCTGAAGCTGAGGGAAAGAAACTCTTGGGAGGAATTGCATACAGTATCACATCAGAAAATGACTTATCCAGACCATTCTTAGGATGGCAATTGCAAACCCACCAAATCTGACCCTTTCCTTCCTGAATCAATGAATTTAAAATTGGAGCCTTTGATTTTTAGGGTTTCGGCCACCTATGATTGGTCAGCATGAACTTCAACTTGGGTAAAATAAAACAAAAAATTTGACGAAATTGCCCCCTGCTCTAGCCATCGAAAAAAGCTAGCTAGCAAAAGAGTTGGCCATCCAGTTTCATGTCCTTATTTGAGAATAAATTGACCATTCAAATCATTATGTGAGATAATGTTCACTTTGATCCTTTTTTGAGAAAACAGCTCAGCTTCAAACACTTATTCTAGACTAAATTAACAACTTCATACACTTATTTGAGTGGTGAGATAAGATTCACTCTGAATCTACTTCAAGCCCTTATTTAGAATTTTCCATTTTTCTTTTAGACTGATCTTTTCAGTTGTAATAGAGTTATTCTTGCTAAATTTCAACTGTAATGTGTTATAACTTGTGTTTTCTACTATTGTAATAGTTTAATGTTAAATGAGACAGCTTTCCGTGCTAATTTATTTCCTCCGTTAATGGTAAAAATGTATGCAATCAGGATACCTTTCTTCACGTTAAATTTCAGATGCATATCCAGTTGAGTTCAGATTTCAATCATTTTTTGTTGGTAAAATTTATCGGTTCCCATAATTGATCATGTTGTTATTCAATATGTAGGATCATGCTTCACATCCCTACTCTCTCAAACACTATGGTTGATGACTAGATCAAGTTAGCAAGTTCAAGCAACGAGAAGAGCTACCCTAGGGTGTCCCTTTACTTTGTGCTTATATCCATAAGGGTTAATACCACGAAAAACCCTAAATTGGTACACTTGTGACACATTTACCCCAAACTATTTTTTTGACCATAAAAAACTCTAAACTGGTACACCTGTTACAATTTTACCCCAAACATACCACAAAAAACCCTAAACTGGTACACATGTGACAATTTTACCCCGAACTAATTTTTAATATTATTTTTTTATTTTTTTGAATTTTTTCTTTTTTCTTTTCTTTTCTTTTTTTTCCTTTACCTTCAACCTCTGGCCGATCGCCGGTCCGGTGACCGGCCAGAAGCGGAAGCCGGCGAGGGCCGCCCTCGCCAGCGTCGGGCGACCCTCGCCGGTATCGGGCGAGGGAGACCCTCGCCTGCGTCGGGAGAGGGATACCGGCGAGGGTCGCCCCTCGCCTGCGTCGGGAGAGGACCGCCCTCGCCGGCGTCGGGCGGCCCTCGCCTACGTCAGGCGAGGGCCCGTCCTCTCCTGCCCAGGGCAAGGGCGACCCTCGCCCGACGCAGCGAGGGTCGCCCTCGCGCATCCGACGAGGGCGCCCTCGTCCGAGCACGGCGAGGGTCGCCGCCTCTAGGCAAGCGAGGACGGCCCTCGCTCGACGCCGGCGAGGGCCGCCTCGCGATGCAGTGCGAGGGTCGCGCTCGCCCGACGCCGGCGAGGGCTGCCCTCGCGGCTTTCCGCCTGCGGCCGTCGACTCCTGGCGACCGGCCAGTGGTCCTAAGATGAAAAAAAAAGGAAAAGAAAAGAATAAAAAATAAATAAAAATTCGAAAAAAAATAAAAAATAATATTAAAATTTTAATTCAAGGTAAAATTGTCACATATGTACCAGTTTGAAATTTTTTATGGTAAGTTCAGAGTAAAATTGTCACAGGTGTACCAGTTTGGAGTTTTTGGTGGTCAAAAAAATAGTTCAGGGTAAAATTGTCACAGGTGTACCAGTTTGGGGTTTTTTATGGTCAAAAAAATAGTTTGGGGTAAATGTATCACAAGTGTACCAGTTTAAGGTTTTTCGTGGTATTAACCCTATCCATAATCCAATGAATGCACATGTAAAGTCTGCCACCACAAAACGCAATATCAACATTTCTTTCCATCATGCTCTTATTGGAATTAGTAGAAAAACAATTCGACGATACGCATAACCTGAGAGATCCTTGAGGAATCAAGGGTTTTAGAGGTAGCTATCAACATGATCAGCATCTAAAGCAAAATCATCAGTGATCAAAATAAATTGCAGGCAGACCAAAAAATTGTGGCCCTTATTCTAAGTACTACTGCTGAATTGTGACTACACAACAGAAAGAGGAGAAGTAAAGAACCTGCACCAACAGCACAAAGATACATAAAAGGAAGAGGAAAGAAACAGACAATTTAGCACCTAATCATGTCACCCACTATATTGAAAGAAGCAGCACCAGAATCCAAAGCGATCAAGGGAGTATCCTGCGTCGGCGACGTGGCGTCTCCCTCCGCACATACATTTTCTCCATCTCATTAAGCGGCCGACTAGATCCATCGGGTAAGCTTACAAATTTCCATCCTCCACCGCCTCCACGCTTCCCACGTGGTCCGAGTTTTTCGACTGTGATATTCCATCCTTCTGAGGGCCGACGTCGGCTATATTTGTGGCATTTAACCTTTCCAGCCACCTGTAAACAGACCAAATCACATCCATTAGTTCATCAATATCCCATTGGAATTCAATATGGAAAACAAGATTGTTTATATACAGGAAAGACAAGGAAAAAGAACAGATATCAAAAAGTCAGGAGGCCATCATGATTTGAAATCTCATTTTTCTCCACAGAGCAGCTCTTCATTTATGGAGCTAAAGGCCAGAATAAGCTTTCTCAAGAGTCGCATAGTACCAGGACACCGACCCATTTAATAAGAGCCTATATCTCATATTCTTATGCAAGTTGGAAATTTGCAGGGTTTAAGACGATCCTGCCCATGCTTACTGATCAGCACCAGTTAGTGAAGCATTTGTCCTATGCAACAAGCTTTAGCGTACTAACAGATCGCTTTCTCTGAAACTTTAGCATTTAACAATTAAAGGAAGAAATCGTAGAAATTATCCTAGATGTTGAAGGCATGAAAATGAAGACTGACAAAATGTCCAGACTCATCTGCTAACTTAATCATTTCCACCTACATTTACCAACCAAAGAAGCACCCAAATCCCAATTATATATTTGATTTAACCATCTTTCCAAGAGTTGACAAAAAAGGCAACTGAACTTACTTTCATCTTGTTGAAGTTCAATCTTTGGACAAATTCTTGATACAGCATTTCATCTTCTTTCTTTGAGATCTCATAGTGGACCTCATCTAGATCTTTGACAGTTCCATCCCAACCCTCTGGCATAACCTTGAAGTCAGGTTTGTAAGGAAGGGATGCCACATGGAACTCCCTGCAATGGGAATTGAAAAATCTGCAAGGAGAAATTGATCAATATCACACTTTTTAGCCCGAGTTAAAAGAATTGCATTAGAAAATCTCAAATTTAATATGAAACCATGGGTTACTTAGAAGTACCAAGTAATATTGTCTAAATATAGAAGATATTCTTGATTGAGAGTTGCTAGTTCTCTTCAGTTCTCCACACAAAACCTCATTGCAAATCAAACATAAAATCATGTCCCCTAACAATGTGGATTGACTAAATCACTTGAAAAGTAAAGCCAACAATTTTGAGGCTATCCATTTTGTTTTCTGGATAAGGATTCTGTACAGTGCACTCCTAATCCATGCGCAATAAGGATGCATTTGGTGGATCTAACATAGAGCCAGACAGGATATACATATCCAATCCGACACTTGGAGTCAACGAAATATAACCGCATATGTTTGGATATATCTCCCGATTGAATCTGGCCCCAAATTCCCGCATACAACAGGATAGGATTTCTCTTATCCAAAAAAAAAAGATAAAAAAGAGTACAAATCAGCCACAATATCTAAGAAAGGGAGAGAGAGAGTAAGGATAGAGAGAGGAAGACGAGCCTTGGACTCAGGCATCTCTCTCTCTCTCTCTCTCTCTCTCTCTCTCTCTCTCTCTCTCTCTCTCTCTCAGCAACAGCTGGCCATCGCAAACTGCACTGATTCTAGAATAATATGGTTCAATCCTTTATCATAGAAGGATTAATTTCAGGGCTGTAAAACCTAACAGATTCCCAATGCATGCCAGAATTCCCTAAATTACAGTTCTTGTCAGATTACAAATGACCATTTGACTCCTTGAATTCCATCCTTTGTAAAACCTTCAATCCCTGACTTGTCCATTTCAGGAGCTGCTAGCTCTAACCATCTCCCTTCTCTCTTTCAAAAGCAATGACAAGAAGATTGTTTGGTCAAATTGTTGTTAAAATGAATTCCATGCTTCCCAAAACTCCTCCCTGATTCATCGCATTTCGATAGCCGCTAGTTCTAATCAATCTCCTGTTCTATCAACTCTCTCATATTTATTCACTTAGTTGCCACCAAAGAAGCCTTCTCACAAAAAAAAAATGCCAACTGCACAGATTCAGATCTAGAACTATGAAAGCAGAAGTCCTATCAGCAACTAACACATGTTCAGCAAATATATAAATGACGCATACAAATTATTGCCTGAACAAATTTGAGAAAGAAATGAAGAAGATGACATTCAGCAAAACAAATAACTCCTAAGAGGCTAATACAAGAATTCAGAACGCAAATTAGAAGAGCAACATCTTAGAACCTACCCTCTTACTTGTGATTATGCTGAACAAAAAGATTTTCTCTTTCTTAATCAACAAATAAGTTACTTAAACAGTGTGCCACTCCTGTTAAAAGGCCAACAGATTACTACATCGGTTCATCTAATCCTACATCGCTTGTATTATAGCAAATTAGTTTGTTCGACTCTGACCAAAAAAAAAAAACAAATTATTTTGTTCGACAGAAAGATGATTACAATGCAAAGACAGTGGCGAGCTCTCCGTTTACAGGGCACACAAAACTGAGCTAATGTTAATGATCTAAGCACAATGAGATTTTATTTAAAGCTCCAAACCAGCTACAATACTACCTCATCACAGAAAGTAGCAAAAGACTAGATTCCACAACAAATCCCAAAAGTCAATTTTGAGCATTCTTGAGTTTAAGCGCTAGTTGTCCTAATTGAATGTCCTCCAAACCATACAAACTAGCAAATTTAACCAGTACAGCCCCGACAAATGACATGATTAATCCCATCAAATTGATCAAACCTTTTGAAAACCAATTGAATTACCACAATAATAATGCGATGCAACAAAGATTGAACAAAACAATTCCTTACTCGGGGCAAGTATCGAGCAAGAGCTCGACCGAATCGTCCAAAGGGTGGCCAAGCTTCTTCTCCTCCTCCTCCTCCATCTCCTTCAACCAAAGAATAGCGAGCACCCTCTGCCTCATGATCCTGTAATCCTTGGCCAGCTTCTCCACAGTGTGAACCTCAGGGTTCTGCTTGTGCAGCCGATACATCTCCGCCTTCTCGGAGTCCTTCAAATACGACCCTCTCGCCCCCGGCTCCCGCACCTGCTTCAGCAGCACGCTGATCTCTCTCATCCTCTCGCCCCAGCCATCCACAAACGCCTTGCCCTTCCTGTTCTCCTCATCCATTTCCCTCAACTTGTCCTCGACTTCCTGCAAATCGGAGATCATCATCGACTGGTAAGGGTTCGAGCCTGGGTTCTGACCGGGGGCCGTGCTCGTGCCGGGGCCGGGGCCAGGGCCGGGGCTCGTCCTGCGACCCACCGCTTCGCCGTCGAAGTAGTCCTTGGTCATCCCAGTGGACCACGACGAGACCGAATCCCAACCCCCGTCGTCGAAAGGGCCGGAGCCGGGGAAGGACGGGTCGCCTCCGTCGGAGCTCGCCGAGAAAGCTCTGGAGCTAGCGCGGGAAGAAGAGGCCACCTTTGCGGCGGCGCCGACCGGCAAGGCCGGCGCTTTGGCTCCGGCTCCGGCTCCGGCTCGGTGGTAGGCGGCGGAGGCGGCGAGACGGGACGCGATGCGACAAAGGCTGTGCGCCATTGAAGCGTGCGCGAGCTCTTGGGAAGGCAAAGAATGGATCTTTGGTGCTAATGCCAGTGCACTGCTGAACGAAAGAGAAGACGACGACGACGACGGAGGAGTAGGAGAGAGAGAGGGAGGGAGAGCTAGGGCATCATCCTTTACGAAATGGAAATTAGGAAAAATCATCTTAAAAGTTGAAGAGAAAAAATTGACAAATTATATCGACCTATTATGACTTCTTCTTCTTTTAAATTTTTGTTTAGCCGAATCACGGTAAAATCATTTATTATTCAATATTCATCCATCCATCTATCAATTTATTTACGTTATAATTATCACAGTGTTTGAATTTAGTGTCCAATATGTGTTTATAAAACAATTTCAAAGTTCCCGACTTAAATTTACAAAAGCATTCCGCCAATAAAAATGCGGTCCTCCTAGTAAAAGTGTTTGGAGGGCTATGCTAAGAAGACCAACACATCATCCAAATAACAAATGCATCACATTTGACCGTGGATGCATCATTATATATGTATAATTTTTCTGTGGTATGTCTTCAACTGATTAGGAATAACGATAAAATAAATCAAGCAAGTTTAAAACATAAACATTTGAAAATATTTAAAAAAAGACACACAGTCTCTATGTTATTAAAATTCTAGTTTATGTAAATATATATTTTGTTGCGATATTATTTTAGAATAGTGGTATTTGGTCAAATGAGATAGATAGTAGGATTAGTAATAGAATGGACTTCTAATTTGTTTAATGTGATCCCTGAACTTTAGCCTAATGTTCAATGTGATTTGTGGATTTTTGTAAATTTCAATTTGGTTCATGAATTAATTCCAAGATCGGGAACACGTTTGAACATTTTTATATAGTTTAGGGACTAAATTGAACATGTATCAAAAGGTCATGTACTATATTGAACAAATTAAAAGTTTAGGGACCACGCTGCACATTAGGTTAAAGTTTAAGTACCACGTTGAACAAATTAAAAGTTTAAGGACTATATTACATATTGGGCCAAAATTCATAGACTATTTGTGTCTGAAGTAAGTACGAGAGTAGCAAAAAAAAATGACAATTTCTGAAAAAAAAATAATCATCCAAAGCATCACCTCACCATTTCACTGTTCACACACACACACATATATATAAAATAAAATATGAACTGAACTGAAAAACAAATATTATTTTGGGTGACCAGAAAAACAAAAGAAAAAATTTGAAAGAAAATAAGAGAGAGAGAGAGAGAGAGAGAGAGATAGAGAGAGAAGAAACGGTCTACGAGCGTGGTGGTGACAATTGACAAAAAGGAGGAAGAGGCTTGCCTCCTACTCCTCCCCTTCCGCCTTAAACCCACCACCACCGCCATCATCGTATCTCTCTCTCTCTGCTTCGGAGATCTCACTTTCCTCCCTCCAACACCCCCACACACGCACCCCCGCATTGACCACTGTTCGCGTGACCACGCCGCCGCCGCCGCATGCACGTGCCCCATCTCCTTCGCCGTCGCCGTCGAACCGGGCAAATCCGATCGCCGTCCCCGATCGTCGCTACCGTCGGAACGGCGCATCGCCTGGTGAGTCCCCATTTCCGCGCCTCTGCAGTGTCTGGGTCGCTCTCCGGCTGCTCCTGGTCCGCATTCGGGCTGCGATCGAGCAATGCAATTCGGTTCTCGATTCTGATCTCTCCGTAGCCTCGCCCGAATCTTGATTTGTAGCTAAAACGATCGGCAAGATGGTTTTTTGACGCTTGCCCGGATCAGTTCTCGGGTTCGGTTCCGATGGGTTTTCGTGTATTTGAATGATTCGGTAGCTTGTTGGTTTTGCAGTTTGTTGTGATTCTCGAGTTGGCATTTTGCTGGTAATGATTGCTGGGTAAGGGAGGAAGAGGGGGTGGTTTCGGAAAGTGTGATGTCTTGTGGTGGAGAGGAGAAGCCATGGAGATGCGGGAAAGTGAGCACGGTGAATCTGCAGAGGATGAGTTCGATTGTCCGTGATATTGGGGATCCTTGCCTCTCTCAATCTCCTATAAAGGTTGTTTTATGGCAGTAACTTTCTACAGCGATCTTTCATTGTTCCTTCATTTATGTCCATGGTTCAATGAGTATGGCGCGTGATGAAGTAGATTGACTGGTGTAGCCATGCTTATTGTTCTTGGTTTATGATTTTGATGCCATCTCTTCTTTCACTAGCTTCCGTCAACATGAATTTGCACTCTCCATTTCACTGCACCAGAAGATGTATAATGTAGGTCGAATTGTGTTCGTACTTCTGAAGAAAAAAGCTTCTCGAAACTCAGCCCTGTCTTGATTCATCCGTGCAACACCTACACCACTGTGTTGATGGCTGATGAGATGTCTCCAATGCGATGGGAATATATAAGTAGTTTGTGATGTGATTTTGTGATCCCTCTGTTAAAATTAAATCATATTTTTACATTGGCCTGTAATTTACACCAATCATGCACACTAGCTGGAAGGATGTGGGTGGATGTGCCCATACTTCCACTGGCAGTCATGTAATTGGCGGGCCACTCTAAGCATGCAGCTTCCGTGTTGCTCCTTTCTGTATTGGGGAAGAGAGATAATAGGGACAATAACTAAGTATATGCGCCAAGAAATAGCATTTATTTGAATGAAATTTTAATGGGAAACACATAAAGATAGTAATAGCCTAGTTAGGTCTTCATTTCTTATATCATGTAAGATTATGTGCTTAAAGGGAAATTACTTACTTGGGTTCGCTTAAGCTTCTCAAACACTAGGACATTGACTGCCTAGGAAGATCCTAGATTCCTAAAATGGGAAAATAATACAGGCCGACTAAAGAAAGAGCCTAAATTTTTAATTCTGATGGGTTCGCTTAAGCTTCTCAAATCAGTGTACTGACTGTCAAGTAACAGCACATGTTCATGCTAATCTAGAAGCGCATGTTCTGGTTTGAAACTTTTTTTTTTCCAGAAAAGACAAATCTATGTTATCGCATGGACTGTTAATTAGTGACATGCACCATTTCTAATTTAAAAAGTATGTTTTTTTATTAATCTGGCTCATGTAAACTTTCAACTTTTATAGTGGTTTGAGTTTTCTATTTTCCGTCTTGATTCAGGTCAGCCAAATGCTCAAGCCTGAAAAGTGGAAGGCAAGTTTTGATAGTGATGGAAAAGTTTTGGCTTTTCGTAAAGCACTTAGGTCGATCATTCTTGGGGTATGTACATTTTTGGAGTTGTTTAATTTGCATAAACATGCTGCATGCTTTTTGCCCTTTGAGTACAGTATGTTTTTTGATAAGATCACACCCTCTATGTAGTTAGTTCCAGGATGATGATATTTCTCCAGAGAGATTTCTGCTCAGCTTTGCTTCTTAGGCTTGCTTCACTTGACCTACTTCTTGCATAGACCAGTTGATATAGTTTGTACTTACTATCCCTTGTTGATAGCTGAATGTATTATATCGGGCCTTATGACCCTATTCTAGATGAAGACGTTTCGATCTTTACAAAGCTAACGGTCACCTTCACTCAAAAGTATGGTTTTTTGATTAATTATAATATACTCTCGGAATGAAATCTATTACCTAGTAGACAATTTAGCCCAGACTTTGGCTAAAGTATGGTTGGTTTGTCGACCATGCTTTACTCGCAGGTTTGGCAATCTTGTACCTACTATATGCTTTAGCTGAGACTTTGATAGCTAATAGTGGCATCATTGAATCACTGATTTGTCATAAGCACGAGAGTTTTATGGTTTTAGCTATAATTAGAGAAAATGTGATAAGATCGATTTCCCGAGTGCTTGACAAAAAATTGTCAATATCATACTTGTTATGGTCTCCTTTTTGTTGTAAAAAATCTGCAGAGCAAATTGATGCCAATTCCTAATTTATGGGCGAATACTCTGCTGTTTCATCCTTCCTTTATGCTTGCCTCAGCTTTTGTTACTGAGTTCACGAGATGTCTTTATGTGATGGCAAATTGGATTTATTTGTGACTATTAGGTAACTTTATTTAATGTTGCTTCTGTTTCTCATAGGTATCATCAAACTTTGTTGAATTGGCTGCGTTCTTATTTTGTAGATTGAATAACACTAACCATCTTTCACTTTGTTTTCTGCATGTAGGGTGTAGATCCATCTATAAGACCAGAACTATGGGAATTTTTACTTGGCTGCTATGCACTGGACAGTACGGATGAGTTTCGAAGGCAATTGAGAAAAGCACGGAGGTCTTGGCCCACTTATGTAAATATTATTTCTGTGCTTGAAATGTTGCATGATAAACATGTGATACAATCTCCTCTTTTCTTGTTCTTGCAAATAGATTGATCCGAAACAGTGGATCCAATTAGCTTTGCTGGTGTATAATATGCCATTACACTTATTACGTCAATTTTTTCTCCCTTTACTTTGAATAATATGATGTTTGTGTTATCTTTATAGTTGACATTTCACAATATTCTTCTTTTGTTGAATGATAAGTAAATTGAACTAAACAAAGATACAAACTGAGTGTACATGTTTATATATTTGAAAGTGCAGAAAACGATTACCAACAATAGAACTTTGAGGATGTCGTTTTCCTTCTAGATATGCAAAAAAGGGAAGATGAATGTAACAACAAAGGAAAAGTAATTGAGACAATAGAAAGTCCTTAAATAACTTGGCAATCAAGTCAATAGCATGTTTAAAGCAACATATGTAACTCTTGACATGAGAACTGTAAACCTTGAAAGAAATCCTCCCGTTTCTTTCAAGCCATAAGGTCAATATAATTGATAAAGGAGGAATCCTCTAATTTCTCTGTGTAAACTTCAGGATATCTGAGCTCCTTTACAAGGATCAAGTATATTTCAAACAGTGCATGTGCTTTTGGTTTTCTATTTGTTCTGACTATGATGATGATTTTTGATGATCTTTACTTATGTGCTCTGATTTTACACTGTATGTGGGTTGTTTATGACTGTTTTGCAACATGATTTTTTAAAAAAAATCTTCCCTGGAAATGCTGTCATGAAAATAATAGGAGTTGGATCTCCTTGATGCCAATCCAATGAGTCTTGGCAAAAGGAACACCTTGAAAACTTCATAAAGAATCGGAGCTAAGCATTGGCTACCCGGATCAGCTAAAATTATTAACTCATGTTACAATAATGTACATGTATGGGGCA